ATGGGAGTTGTCGGCTAATTTTTGGGACGGAATTTCCGACCCCCAACATATGTATAATTTTACAAACCCTCACCCAAAAATATGGGTTGCAACATATGTGCCTTAAAATTGCAACCCATGCCCCATGGAGTTGAATTTTAAGGCACATATGTTGCAAATCATATGTCTTGCAAACAATATGATTTGCAAAAGTACATTGGTGCCTTATTTCATGGAATTTTGCAACCCATATATGAGTTGTAAATTATGTTTTGCAAAATTGCACAACATGGTATGTAAAATTGAATTTTACAAACCATATTTTGCAACCCTCCAAAAAAAAAGAGGGAGACACAAAAATCAACACAAAAAACAAGCTATGTAAGATTGAATTTTACAAACCTTGTTTCCCTCCAATAAAAAAGAGGGAGACACAAAAATCAACAAAAAAAACAAGCTAAGTAAAATTGAATTTTACAAACCTTGTTTCCCTCCAATAAAAAAGAGGGAGACACAAAAATCAACAAAAAAACCAACAGAAATCAAAAAAAGATAAAGGAAAGGGACACAGCCTCAAAAAAAAAACAATAAAATGCAATCAAAAGAAGAAAGAGAAAGACAGCCTCAACAAAAGATAAAAGAGGGAAAAAAGATAAAGACACAGCCAAAAAAAATCAACAAGCAGATCAAAAAGAAAGATAAAGGAAAAGGACACAGCCTCAAAAAACAATATCAGTCTCTTGCGGATGAAAGAGATGATCATCTTACTCAAACTCAGGTGAAAAAAAGTGAAGAAGATGAAGATGTCCCTCAGAAACCTCCCATATGGTTCAAGGTCATACTTAAACCACCTGAGCAACAATTGCCTCCAAGTTCCAAAGGACAAACCGGGGCTTCAAGACAATCAGTGAGAAAGAAAAAATAGATTGAAAGATTTTTCTCCTGGACTGACTTCGCATTTCCTTTTATTCTGTTTGAGGCTCTGTCTTTTTTACTTTTTGATCTGCTTGTTGATTTTTTTTGGCTGTGTCTTTATAATCTTTTGTTGAGGCTGTCTTCCTTTTTTCTCTTTTGATTGCCTTTTATTGTTTTTTGAGGCTGTGTCCTTTTCCTTTATCCTTTTTTTGATTTATGTTGTTTTTTGTGTCTCCCTTTTTTTTTGGAGGGTTGCAAAACAATGTTTGTAAAATTGAATTTTACATATTGTCTTTTCCGGGAAGCTTGGACAAATCCACAAATTTTTCGTTTTGTTTATGCAACTACCAGGTAGACAATCTTGGAAATTCCTGGAAATCCCTGTAAGTCCTGCCAAGTTCACGCTCAAAGTATCTGCCACGCATGTGCTAACACAGCATGCCCGCTTGGCTCTGAAAATCATCTGCAGTGCATGCGCCCGGTTACCCCTGAGTCCTGACACACCATAATGGATTACAATCCTCTAATGGGGTCATGGCCAGCCAGCCCTCCCGGCCTGATCATCATTCATCTGCCTCTGGCCATCCATCATCCCAATCCTGCCATCCTTGCCGCATTCCCACCTCCACCAGGGTTAATAACAGCAATGGTGTATTGCTACCATCCCCCATCAGTTAAAATTGTGCGTGTACAAACTCACGTGATGCCATCTGCAATTCCATTGGCAAGACCATATCCCGTCAATCCTTCGAGCGTTGGATGGAACTCTACCACCTAACTCAACGTGTCGTCCGCAATCCCGATGAATACAAACAGCGCGGAGATCAGTTCAAGCTGTCTGCTGATGATCGAACTCCTACGAGCCAAACCCGGGCTGTTCTTAGACGAAATTCGCGAGAAGTTATCCGAACTTTTTCCCAATCATAAAGAGGCACTGGGGCCATCCGACATCAAAAAGAGCAGAACCCTAAGCGATTCACTCTCATTCCGGCAATCAGCATGTTTGGCGTGATAGCTCTGACGGTGACTGAAGAGAATGTGAAGCGACCTTGCTTCACGCACTTCCTCAAATATCAGCTGGTAAGCGGGCCTTTTAGTATGACTTCTGCTGACCACCTTTGGAACTGACATTCCTAGTACTCTTTAGCTTCCACACATGAATCCTTATCCAGGTCTCAATTCAATCCTGGTTATGGACAATGCTTGTGTTCATTGTGGCGGCAAAGTGGCACAATTATGCGATGAAGCGGGGGTCCAATTGATTTATCTTCCCCCTTACTGCCCAGAGCTCTGCTTCTCTCAGGTTAAAAGTAATCTCCGCAGAACTCAAGCTTTAATTCATTCAAATGACCCAGAGTGGGTCATCAAACGGTCATTTTACCGTGTAGTTACCAATTCTTTGTTGTATAAGTTGTATGCTCACGCTGGTTACAATTTTTCTGGCATCACTCCTGCCCCTGTGACTCCGGGTACCCACTTTCCAGAATAGTTTGATGTTATACTTCCGCTCAGCTGATCTGTTCCTTACATCTTCATACCCTGTTTTCTCTCGGTTGCTTGATGTTTTCCTACTTCCCCTCTGCTGTTATGCTTATCTCCATCTCCATCCATCACCAGGTTATCCTTATATCCGTCATACCCTCTTTTGTCTTGGTTGCCTGAGATTGGATTGCTGTTGATTTGCCCTAACTTACGATTGATATGAAATACTATTGTGATATCGCAACAAGTGTCACTCTTGACCCTATCAACAAAACCTGGCATGTCTGGATGCTCAGATGTGAGGGTGTAGGACAACTAACACCGGTCGGCCCACTGACTATATCCACAATATCCAGATTTGACCCACTGGGTGCCTCAGGAGTCATGGTCTGGAATATAAAAGCCGGCAATGTGTCAAGCGTTTCATAGATCCAATCCCGTCCAATCATCACTCAGATCATCACTCAGTTTGTTGCTCTTCCCAAAACCATCCCGCCTGCCCTTGCCCTGACATTTCCCAATACCAGCTCAATCAAAATGGCTCCTAATATCAGCAAGCCTGTCTCTGAAGTGCTCTGCAAGGAGACTCAACCGGTTGATGATCCTGGTGAGAAGGCTCCCACTCCATTGGCTCCCATACACCTCGACTACCTGCTCTATGTAAGGAATGTCAAACCGTCGGTCAAAGAACTCAACATTGTTGTCAAAACTACCCATCCATGGGCCAGAGTCTCCCCCAAGAGTCCCCTTGACCCAATGGACATTGATTTACTGTCCATAAACTGGTACGACTTCCAATTGTGGGCCATATCCCACCTCGGTCAGCTACAGCCTTGGATGTATGAAGTCTTGTCCAATGGGAACAACTTCCACAAGCTCAGGTGCCATGCCTGGATTGCGGGTCATCCGAAATATGCTGAGCACAAAAACTTTTGCATTCAAGGCCATCTTGATTATCTTGGCTTTGCTAGTGTGGCATCCAAGGTGTTCCCCAGCAAGGTGATGTTCAAACTGGAGATGTATGATCCTTGCCGTGCAAGCAAGGGTCCCGGCTTGGTAAGTCTCATTTTTCTGATAGCTATCATTCATATGTAAGATTCTGACTGAAGGCCCACCCCGCAGTTCTTGATCCCGAAATCTCCCGCCAACAAGGACGGCACTCAAGGTACAAATGAGCGGAACAACCATTTGGTAAGTCCCATTTTTTTCCATTTTTTGTGTGGCTATCATTCAATCCTTGGGACTGACTGGAGGCCCACACCACAGTTCTTGATCCCAAAGGTACCCGCCAAAAAGGACGGCACTCAAGGTTTGACTGAGCAGAACAATCAACCGGTGCGGTCCCCGGCAAAGGATTATTGTGAAGCTTTGACAACCGAGGAGGATGAGCCCGCGGTCCCAAAGTTCAACCAAATGAGGGCTCAACTGGCCCACCGTGGGTTCAATATAGACACACCCACCCCCATCTGCACTAACCAGCCTCACCTGGGTGCAATCCAGCCGGCAGAGGGCGGCTTGGGTCCCGCGGGAAATGGCGCGCGAACCAATGGTCACTCGCCATCCAAGGTTGCCGCCGTCGGTTCTCACAGAAGGCCCCGCGTCATGTCCTCAGATGTCAAAATCATCCAAGCCCCACGCCGCAAGCAACCCCAAACGTTTGATCTTGAGACCCCTCTTGTCTCCAGGGCTTTCCCCCCTCCAGCTCTTCTGCCAACGCCAATGAGGCCAGCGGATCCGCGCTTGGAAGAGGTCAATATGGAGTTGTTCCTTGAGGTCGCCCATGTTGAACCGGACAACAGGGACACTTGCAAGCGCTTGAAAGACAACGGTATCATCCATTGGTCCTTCTTCCGCAGCTCCACCAAGAGGGAGTTACGGGGCATGGGCTTCACCATAGGCATGGCACGATTACTATGCAAGGGAGTCCCCCGATTAGAAGAATACATCACAAGTCACCACTTCACCGAGAGTGGCTCACCTATTGTGTAGCTGTGTCCACCTCTTATGACGTCAAACCTAGTTGCATGTGTGTCAGTCCATTGGTCCCCGCTCATCATATTCTACCTATTAGGTCTCCTCTGGTTCGGTTATACACGATCTACCTATTAGGTCTCCTCCGGTTTGGTTACACCAGAGTTCTTCCCTCTTTCTTATAGTAGTTTCCAATTGATATCTTCTAGTTAAAGCGTTGCTTGTTGGGTGCATGTCTACATTTCTTGATCTATCTTGTCCTCCCTCAAATGAAGAGTTATTGATCATATGCCTCCGGTTGCTTCTATTGATATGTATCCGGTTTCCTGAGTATCTTACAAATGAATGTCTCCGGTTTCTCCTCTTATTATCTTAAAAATGAAAGTTAAAGAAATGACTGCCTGCGTCTCTGTGTAATTTTATTGATCTCAGCCCACTGACTGAAAGAATGGAAATCAAGCAATTGTGTCCCATAGTGTGTCCCAGGAGGCAAGATATCAAGTGCTGTTTACCTCCAGTTTGTGCCTTATTTCAAGACAAAAGACATCTTCATTCCCTCTCAGTTTGATTCATAAATAAGGAATCAAGAACAATTCAATTGTGATTTATTATATGTAGGAAGCAAGAAACCTTTGTTGATTTCATTAGGTCGAGTAAGAACCACAGAGAGGGGAATACAATTCATGAGGCAAGAAATTGCAATTGAGTATGTGACTAACTGACTAACAGAATGCGGAACTGATACTATCTCTGAGTTAACCCACCAGCAAGACTCCGCTCGTATCGGGTGACATTTGCGCGTAACTTAGCCAGATTCCCCATTGACAAACCCAACTCCTGCAAGTTGGCAGGAGTTAAATGATCCGCCTTGAATAAGTAGTATTGATCGATCTTGTAGGCCGCCAATTTCTGTAATGTGGCTTCCTTATTGGTTACCCCGGCAAAGCTGAGGTAATCCTCTAGAGAACCTTGTTGATTGTGTGGAGACGTATCTGACCCGGCGGATGAGGAGAGCGAGGGCGAGGCTCTGCGTTTGAGAGACATACACATCCCAACAATCTCCTTCATGGTCGCCAAATCAACCATTCCGGTGGGTGTGTTTGGCGGAGCTGCCCCCGAGGTCTGAGCTTGGGCGGCAACGGCGGCTTTTGTTTTGCGATTCTTGAATTTGAGTTTGCAGGGAGGCAAAGTAAGGTCAACCCCACTGTCACCACGTGCCTGACAGGAATTCCGCCAGCCGTGAATGAGTATTGATAGCTAAAAAAGCAATTGAGACAGAACATACCATTGCTTTAGCCCACACCGCAACATTGCCGGCCGAGAGAAGGATGTATTGATTCAAATCCTCTGGGTCTAGGTAAACGCTGAGTAATGGGTTGTAGCCGGTGTTGTGTGCGTACTTTGCAAAAATCTTCTCCGTGTGGATGTCCTTATTGGTAAATTCCTTGTAAGTGGTCTCCTCATCCTGTCAAACAAAAAGTCACCATGAGCAATCCATCAGGCAAGGATAAGGACATGATTGCTCACGTCAGAGACAGAGATATCTTCTTTGTCGAAGCCGCAAGAGTTGGCAGGAACTGCAGCAGTTGAGGCTGAAGCCAAAGCAGCCTGGGCGTCCTGAGCGCGAGCCTCAAACCAATGTGCCGTCTGATTGACCAAGTTTGCTTACCCAGCCATAATCTCCTTATCACAAGAGTTTGACATCTTGATGATCACCCCACCTTTAATCCCCTTTGCCTTACAGGCAACCAGCGCACACAACCAGTCCAAAAATCGTTCCTTGTTGGAGATGATTGGTGTCAGCCTCTGGGTAACTAACCTGAGTATTTAATAGTAAAAAGGTTGTTACTATGAGTTGACTGAAGTTTTTGAGCGTGGTGAGTGTTAGGTAGTGGGTGATTAATACCAGTCCTGTAAAGAGGAGGTTTCACTCTATCAGTATGGTCTTTACTGAGAGGCTTGCTATCAACAGCGCATCCGGATCAATACAAGGTATTAATAGGCATCCAGGGTACTAAGACTCACCTGGGATTGATTTAGTTATTCCCCAAAGGGAATGGGCTAACAATACTTATTAAGCTTTAACAAAATTAGTTGAAGATTAACAGGTATTGTTAATGGGAATATTCAGCAAGGCTATGAATACTGTGGATAAGTTGAGTAAGAGTACTGAAGCTTAAGAACAATAAATGTAGACAAGATTTATGTTGGTTACGTGTACTGTATCAATATAAATGTTAACTGGTTTAACTGGTGTCTGAATATTCTGGGGATTAATCAGTGAAAGAGGCACAGATTATAAGTTCCAGAATATTGAATGAGGGAAAGAATGAGCGCTCAGAATAAAGGGAGCTTTGGCCAGGAGAATGAGCACATCAATTGAGTGACTGATCATTATTTGTCATGATCTGTAAGTTACATCATAATTGTGTACTAGTTGATCAATGTACTAGTTACTCTTGATGTTTACTTAACAGATCCTCTAATAATGTAGTCATAATTGTGATCAGTGCATGTATTGAATGTATTAATTCTATTGACACTTAATACTTACTATTTAATACATGTACATATTTATTTGTAATAATATTTGACCGTGAAAATACTGTAGAAGAGGGATAACTTGTGGTACAGGTATTTCACGGACAAAGGAGTGAAAGGTAAGTGATAATTACTTATGTAGAACACAAATATGTATTTAATAGATAAGTAATTAACAGATAAGATAAATATAAAATAAATAAGATAAGTTAATAATAAAGATAAGATAACAAGAGGTAAAGGTAATCAACATTATGGATAAGTACTTATGTACATAAGTACAGGCGTTGCAGTTACTTGGTACATGAAAGGTACTGTGACATGTACTCTGTGGCTGACAATTGGGGTGTTGGCCTTGGACCAATCACTGTTGCGGAAGACATAACCACCCCAGGTGATTCTAGGGGGGTTAGATCTCATCCCATCTTCAAAGATTTGAGGCAAATTCTTGAATGGTGTAGCCTCTGAGCAGTGTTGGGTGACACAAGTGTTGAATGTTGGCCAATCCATGTTGCCGCTGCTGAATTCAAAAGACAACTTCTTTGGTGATTGAATTGATACCCAGGTTACCTTCTTAGTCGTCTTGTTTTGATCTGGGCAGTAAACCGTGAAGATTATAGCACACTTGATGTTGACAGAGAACGGTTGAGCAGGTGCGCTGTTGAGAGGTAATGCTGGATGAATTTCCGGCAAAAGCGCCTCAAGAGATGGGAGGTCGCCTTGTTCATTTGAACCTGGGGAGTATGTTGGCAAATCATTGTTTGCAGGTGATTCACTGGAGCCATAGAAATGATCAGTGAGGGGAGTATTGGCAGCAGTAGTGCGGGGCGGCATTTTCGGAACAGAACAAAAGGCTTTTGGCAGGCTGGATAGCTGTAAATCACTGATCTGTTGGAAGGGGAGATGGGGAAGAAGGGACTGTCCAAACTGAGCAAGCAGTCAACCCCTTGAAATGGCCCACGGGCTTAGGACCAGCTCGACAAACCCAGGAGGCCAGTCGGAGTAGTCCAATGTGTTGAAGGAAAATCCATCGGATCATCAGGATAGTCAGATGGGATTTGCAATGATCATGCAGGACGTATTGGGATTTGCAGGATTAAGTTTGAAAAAAAAAAGGCTTTTGTGTAAAATTGGGGAAAGTGAAATGAAACAAAACAAAATTCAATCTGTCCAAGGTTCCCGGAAAAAACAATAGCTTGTTTTTTGTGTTGATTTTTGTGTCTCCCTCTTTTTTTTTTTTTGGAGGGTTGCAAAACATAATTTACAACTCATATATGGGTTGCAAAATTCCATGAAATAAGGCACCAATGTACTTTTGCAAATCATAGTGTTTGCAAGACATATGGTTTGCAGCATATGTGCCTTAAAATTCAACTCCATGGGGCATGGGTTGCAATTTTAAGGCACATATGTTGCAACCCTTTTTTTGCAACCCATATTTTTGGGTGATGGTTTGTAAAATTATACATTACCCCCATAAAAATGTAATTTTACAAACCATCTGATTTACAAGACATATGTCTTGTAAAATATAGTTTGTAAAATTACAGCGACCCTTAAATAAATTGGTTTGTATGACATGTCTATGCCCATGAGCTTTTGTATTCCCCTGTTGGTTTGGAATACCTCTGTGACATTGAATAATGGTTGGAAATGGTGCATGTTCCTATGATCATAGAGGTATGCCCCAGATAAAATTAGTCTCATGGCTTGGTAATTTTCAAAGGTGATGGCTATATCTTGGCCTGGGCTTTGTTGGTTAGAGTGGATTGATGCGTTTCGGAGAATTCCCATAAAAGATTCAAATTTTTCTGAGGCAAATAAACAAGCAGGCCCAAGCAGTTTGATTGCATCTGGAAGATGGGTCAGCATATGGAATTTGGGCTTATTCACCCATTGTGCTGTCTTGTGCAACACATGGTACAAAAACACATTGATGTGATGCTTGATATCTGAAATATATTGCTTCATGTTGTCTATTTTGGTCTGGTACACATAAGTACACAATAGACACAGGGCACTCCATAACTAGTCCCTCCGTTGTTGGGTCATAAATGGCAAAAAGACAAACGGGGCAGCCTGTATGACTATTTTCATGTGTTTGCCTATGAAGCTCTTGTAGTGGTTGACAATGAAAAAAGCCTAAATTGGTGGGATGTTCAGCAATTCTGTATTGAATGCCCTCCAATGAGCCTCTAATGTTCTTTGGTTCCATCAGTGAGACCGGACATGAAGTCACACAGCAGGTATCTGATGATCCCAAGCTGGAACACATGTAATATTTCCACAGGAGTGTCTTTGGCCCCATCAAATCCTAGAGAGACAATTATAATATCTGATCTTAGCTATATCCACTGAATGGCATGCAAGCTACATGCACACCTTTTAAATTAATGAAAGGACTGAATAGTATGTGAAATGTATCCTTTTCAATCTTGTCAATTGCCTCCTTCTGACCTGGTTTGTTTCTCTGGTGGTACTTCTCCACAAATTCCACATTTATGTTGTCCTTTAAGCCGTACTTTTTGGTTTCCTCATTGTAACTGGTCTTCATTTTTGGAATCCCTCCAGGCTTGGTGCAAGCGGGTTTGGTTTCTTCCCATTTCATAGGACAGGGTGGCTAACAAGGCGTGATTTGGTCAAATTGGTCCAATGATATAAATACGGTCGGACAGAATGATTTTACATACCTGGCGCATTCCATCAGATAATCCCATGAAGACTGTCACATATCATTTCAGGGATTTTTCAACCTTCTTGGCAACCAACAACTGACATACCCAACATGGGCTGTTGGCATTTTCTGGGAGGGGGGTGCGTGTAATCCCTGCATGCATGGGAGAGTCTGCCAGGAAAGCCATGATCACACTCATGATGAGTACATCCTGTTTGAGGAGGCTATCATAAGCAAAATGCCCATCTGTGGCCAATTCACTGAAGGAAATAATCATATTAGGATACACTAGTGGGGTGTGAATATGTATTGCCCTCAGATGACTCACTTCATCTCTGCTACTTTGGGCTCTGCCAATTCAAGCACATCAGCCACATTGGAGATCCCCAGGAAGTGAATGTTATTCCTGATTAGTCAGGTGTGGATATAGACCAGATAAGGTGAAATAGACTGAGATATGCTTGTTCCATTGCTTGGAGCTATTTCCAGATGTATCATCTGAGTACAGAGTAATGGGGACATGCCGGATGATTTTCCCCTGTGCTTTCTGCCTCCATGGATTGGGAAGTGCAATTTCCAATTCCCGTCCATTCCGTTCTTCTACAGACCAGGTAAGTTGTTCAAGTGTCAGACAATCAGAAGTCAGATCTGAGGCAATTAGAAGTTGTGAATCATTGACTCACCAAATATCTTGCCTCCGCACTTGTCTGCCAAACTGGGATTGTTATCAAGATAAAATTCAGAGTACATTTCATCAAATTCTTGGATATCAACAGTGTTGAGCAAATGGTCACTGAATTTGATGTTGGCTGGGATGACTATTTTGAGACCCTTTCCAGATTCTGTGGCCTCATATTAGGGTATACAGCATTTAGCATAAAGCATTCTGTTTGCCTTGAAAAAGAAAGTAGGTATAACAACCTCTCCTGATTTGAGACGTGTTGGTTCAAATATGTAGTCATGCTTGTTTCCAATGTATACCATCTGGACCCTGAGGTCCCTAGTCAGATCTTCTCACCACTTGAAACATTGATAAAGGCTGTCAATTTGGGTCCTGGCTGGATCATGTGGATAGAACTCAAAGTGCCTGGTGACCTGTGGGTTGAGCAATTCCTATTAACTCAAGCAGAAAAGCCCAAGATGAGTATCACCCCAGATCATTCATAATAGGACCCCCAAAATAATCACAATTGCATACATTGGAAAATATCACCTTGAGGCTAATGGTGATCAACTTTTTATCCCAAACACTGAAAGTTTTGATGGTGTTCAAGTCAAGCATTCTTTGAATCCTCTCCCTCGTTTGCCTGACCGTGTCCCAATGAGGGAGGAATAAATTCTTCATCACCAGTACCAATCTCAGGAGGAGGTATGTGATGCGGGAGAGCATGTTACACAGATATCCACACATGAGGCATGCCATGAAATCCTACAAGTTCAAAATGCAAGCTCTCACATCAATAACACTGAAGGACCATATCAGGTCAGCAGGAACAAAAAATTACCTCCTGACTGTTCAACGGCTCCCAGTCATTCCGGGATGACCTTGATGTTTGTGCAACTGCTAACTTAGCGAAGTCCCTGCCCCCCGTTGGAGTGGTAAACCACTGGTCGCATTGCGCCAACCGGAGGGAGGGACTTACGTGCGAAGCCGGCCCCGCGGCCCGAGAGCATTAGGAAATTTGGCAGGCACTTTTTAGTAATCCATCTGAAACATTTGTCTACGATGGGATTTTTCCCTTGTTTTCATTTTCATGACGGCGCCGCCCGTCTTGATTTTTCCAGCTGGCCTCTGCCTCCATAACTCTTCACCGTCTTGAGTTATTGATGGGTATAAGTCCTGGAGGCCATGGGAAATTATTATGGATTCAGGTAGACTTCTGTGATCTTCGAAGCTACAGGGCTGTATTTATGTGCAAGACCATATTATGTAGCTGCCATCGAATCAGCCCATGACTTCCTAAGACATATTCAAATAAGCCCATGATGCCTATAACATGTTATGGGGCAGTGATGTTCCATATTGCTGTCAAAGAGCCGATCGGTCTGACAAGAAGCAATCAGACCAATCAGCTGGCCAATCTAAACAAACAGGACTTCCAAGAGAGAAGAGGCATCCGCTTGCGTTTTCGACGAGTTGCTAGGATATCGAGGAAGACTCAGACCAATTACCTTGATCTATTGAACGAGAACTCCGAGGAGAGCCATCCGCTTGCATTTCCGACGAGTCGCTAGGATTTTTAACAGGAAGGAATCAGACCGATCAGCTTGCCATCTATCCAACGATACGTCCTCCAGCAATGAACGCACATGAAGAAACAGCCCCAAGTCTAGATACATTTCAAGCTGGGATGGAGCAATTGCCTAGGGCGCCTCGGGTGTCAATGAACATCAAACTTGACACGATATGTGCCCTGATAGAAGATCTGAACCTCACCCCAAAATCTTTCATTCTTGCATTCCTAGAGCATGACCAAGACAGTATGGCCTTCAAACAACGGTTTTGGGCTACCAACCAGGGTTGGGACTCGACCAAGAATTTGTTGCTGGCTATCAGACGGCTGGCTTACCGCCACCTGGATACCCGTCAACTGTGGGAGGGGTTCATTTTGGAGCAGGTAATGGTCCAGGTCTACCACAAATATGCCATGAGGCCATGACTAACATTGGCTTTTAACAGGCAACCGAGTTGGCATTGTCACAAAAACCAACTAGTGGGCTGGCTCCAGAGGGCTCGTATCACACCTCAAGTACTCTGTCCAATGCTTTTTTCACCAAGGAAGGACGGGAAGCGCAAAATAAGTCACTCACAGATTGGATGCTGTTTCTATATCAATTACTCTGCTCAAAGATCGAGGGGGGTAAGGCAGTTGGGGGCTCAGATGCCCCAGAAGATCCAGTTGAAGAAAATTCTGATGACAAGGGTGAAGACAATCCGTTGGATGATCTTGGTGACTATGATGGATCAGTGTTGAAAAAAAGCAAGGACCGTGCAAGCCAACGGGCAAACCGGGTTCATACGGTAAGTTCTCTCCATCTAATTGAGATGGCTGTTAGCCTGTTATTGATCAGGTTACGTGGGATTTCTGGCAATCAATCTTTTAGATGGCCCGCACAATTTGTGCCATGGTGGCCTTTGGTGGTAACTGCTGCCACAACGGATTTCAGCTCAGTAATGCACTGCTCTTCTTGGCAGGAGGGGTGACCGAGCGGGTCAGTGCATACCTCAATTACATAGGTATCAGCTCGTCTCGCCAAACAGCTCATGCTGCACTCACCAGTCTGGGGGCGGAGGCTTGAAGAAAACTCAAAGCTATGTACAATTCGGCTGATTCCCCATTGGTGGCCCCCCTTCTGTGCTACGACAACCTAGACTTTCAGGAGAAAGTTCACATGAAATCTATTGGCCATTCAAGTCAAATGTTCCATGGGACCTGGGGATATGTCCACTTGATCCCACCTGCCTTGAAATCCCGGCTGGACCCCTCTCAGCTCACAATTGAAGCATTGAACACGTCATTACATCTGGGGCAAGAGCTGGAAATACGGCCGGAAATGTTTACCCCTACGCATGAGAGCACAACTCACTTTGAAAAGACTATCAAATCTCAGATCACTCGGGTAATCCTGAAGTACTTGGCAACCCCCATGGATAGAAGGGTCAAATTGCACAAGCATCCACCTGAGGTGAATCCCATTACACCTGAGGACCCTAATATCACAATGCTCAAACTCATGGTGGCTTCTGACAACTCGGCACTTGGAGTGGGAGAGGTGTTCACTGGGGTAATACAGCAAAGTGGCCTGACACCAGCCAAGCTCCACTCCCGGCTCCAGATCATTGAGGGTGACCTGGGATCGTGTAACATTTTTGATAGCCTCCGGAAACAGAGGAACCCCGGTTTGGGTGATCACAACACCCTTGACAATATCCTTCCAATCCCGGGTGCAGCACACACCCTATGGAACCTATCTCAAGAAATCTATCTGGGCCATTGGGGCAATGAAAAACTGGCCCGTGATACTGGAGCATGGCGCACACTTCATGCACTGGGAATCCCCGCGGAAAAGCCAGTCACCAAGAAGGATTTCAATCTGATGCTATCACACATTGAGAAGATCCATGAGGCAACTTTGTTGTATTGTGTCCTGTGAGTATGTACTAGCAAATTGTTCATTTTCACTTGTGCTGATATGTGACTCTAAATGTTGGTCATTCAAGTGTGGTGGCCAACCGTGCTCATGAGGTATTATCCAAAGGGCTACTCAAGGTCACTAGTGAGACAATTGATGATTGGGTTGAGCGGACCTATGAGCGATTCTGCTCGGGTGATGCACTCCAGTCAGAACTAGCTGCCAACTACTGCAGTCATAAGAACCTCTTGCTTCGGATCCAAGACTTTAGCACAATAGTCAAGGCCAATTGTGCAATGAAGGATGGTGACTATGGCCGGCTCATGTTCATGTGGCAACGATGGGCTGTGATGAGCCAAGGTATTGGGGGAATGCCCCACTACTCCAAACACCTCCCAAAACTGATCATTCTATTGAAGTACATATTACCCAAGTCACTGTCGGACTTGGTCTTGAACACCTTACTTATGTCTCCAGCCGGGAAGGCAGGTCACTTTGTTGCAACAGACTTCTACCTGGAGGTTCAAAATTACTGGTTGAAATACTTTTTCAACCACTCTGGAATAGGCACAGATATTGAGCGCTTGAAGGAGATATTTTCAAGTGATATTAATCTGGTGAGTGTTCTCAAGGGCTTTTGCATCATAATACATACACTGATCATGCTCAACCTGTCCTGTCTTTGCAAAGCTCCAATACATGTTACAGCTGATCAAATTGGAGTCTGGTGCAGAAGTTGTCCACCAGTCACACAAGAACAAATTGAACCTGGACTCATTCAACAATTTCCGGTGCATGGCCCTGCGGGAGAGATTAGGATTAATCCCCCTTGGAGGCAGGGAACCTGAGGAAATCAACGACTTCTATTCAATGGGCATGGGCAAACTACAAAGGGAATACCCGCAAATGGGTCTGTCACGATTTTGGCCATACTCTAAAGGTATTATGTCTATGTTTGAGGAGGATGAAAGAAATCGGGGAAGAACCAATGGGGGAGATATTGCAACCGAGCTTGAGCATCAAGTGGTCAGTGATGAGTCTTCCAGCTCTGATGTGACAGACTCTGATTCCATATGAGCCGGTGAGTTCTCCACTTGGGTTCCCCCGCCCCTTACCAATTCCAAACGCATCTCCTCAATGACCAGGTCCTTATTACGTTCACGCATGATCTTCCCAACATTCTGATGATTAGCCTCTTGGTTAACTCCTAGTGTTCCACAGGCCATACCAGACACAGACCCCACGACCCTCTTCCGCTTCATCCATTCAACAGGCCCATCATGGTGTTCCAGCATAAGAGTTGAACTGGATCCTAATGGCTCCAGTGGGAGCAAATCATCAGTTTACCCCTGCTTGCTTGGTTGTTGTGATTTATGTTGATAATTCCCCTGTGTCAGCTCCAAAGCAAAATCATTCTGCACTGGATGAGCGTCCTTGCGTATGGCCATGTTGCGGGCTAAGACTGCTTGCTTGGCGGCCTTGCGTGCCACACAGTCCTGCTTAATTGAATTAGTCCTGGGAGTCTTCAGTTCAGCCTTTTTGAGCTTTTCAGCAGCCGCTTGGGCCTGCTTGACTGATTTGAGTGCGGCTCATTCTTGTGATTCCTGCTTCTGCCTGGCTAGCTTCTCCTCTTGCCTACAAGATTTTTGGCTGCCTTCTCGCTCTGCAAGTGTGCCTTCTCCACCGCCAGGTTTGTAGCCCTAAGCAACCGAGCTGCAACCCTTGCCTCTGCCGCCTGCGCCCGCGAATCCAGGAGTGCCGCCTCCTTGGCCTCCTTGGTGGCTTGCCTTTTCATTGCTGCTGCCAATTGAAGCTGAGCTAGTTCCGTCGCCATCTGCTCACAGATTCAGATCCCCTCAGATTCGATAAAATGCTTGAGCTGGGACAAAGCAAGTAGGTGACGTTTGAAGTATTCGCCTTCCATCCACTGTGTAATTGCTTGCGCCAGCGCCTTGATCTGGCCATCAAAACATTGTCCTCCTATCAGTCTCCCCAAGAGCCTCAGGTCGTGGGTCTCCCCCGCCGTAATCTGATCAATTGAACCAACAATTGCTCTTGACTGTGAAAGACCAAAAAAGACCGATGGGGGGAACTCAGGTCTTGGCCCCAAGACATCCAAGTAGAAGCACTCAAAGGTGTGGATCAAATGCCGTTTGAGGTCCTCCGCAACGTCCTTTGGGTAGGCACATGTACCTTTTGGCCGGGGGGTTTTCCTCTTGCGCCTCATAGTGACAATTGAAGGATTGACCGGAATGGAAGAGGGGTCCAAGAGAAGTGAGTCAATGTTGGAGATGTTCATCTGCTGAATGACCTTCATGACAGTTTCAGCTGCATCCGGTGCACAGCATGAGCACATGCATTTGGCAAACCCCAGACGTTCCTCGCGCAACCGCTCAGCTATTACCATTGGGTCGTCCAGTTGAAGGGGTATATATCCTAGCCTAATGACACACCCAACTCATCAGATCATTTTAGTGTCAAGAGAATGAAGTGATTATCACATACCGGTTATCTATGTTGAGTGCTATCCGCAAACAGACCTTGGTAACTGCCAAAGCATCCATCCGAGTGTCATCATTCTGATCCAAGCCCACCTCAAAATCGGCCACACAGTTCCGTCCGTTCTTGCATGTTGGTTCCATAAATAACAGGCCCAATCCGACATTTCCATCCCTCCCACACCTCCCCACCATCTTCCCAATGGCGGCAGGGTCACCCCTCCCCATGTGTACTACACAGCGGACCCGCTTGAGATTCTGCCCCAGACCCAAAGCCATTGTGGCTGAAATGACAGGAACCTTGCCTTCTCCAAAGTCAGCCATTACTCGCATCTTGTCCTCCTCGCTTGTGACTGAATGGTACCACCAAATGAAAGCATCGTTTGGGTCATATTCATGATTAGGTGTATTACGAGCTTCATTGACCACTTTCATGACTTGGAAAGTGCAATTTTGGGTCCCAGAGTAGATTATCATGGGCACTGAATCTGCCGCTGATGTGAATGTCCATGGCGCAAATATCCTCAGTAGATCGTCACAGGAGCTGAGAGTTGACTGCATTGACACACAAAGCAGGCGAATTTTGGGGCGTGTCAGCTCGCCATCTATCATATTGATGTCGCCTGGCTGAAGCATTAAACTTGCTGTTATTGCTGAGACAGCTATGGGTCGGCATGTTGCGGAGAGGAGCAGCACTGGGATATTGCTTGTCGCCATGATCCTTGTGCCCAAGTGGCCATAACCGGGTTGGAACACAGCTTGATCTTCCAATCTAGCAAAAATAATCATTGATTTGCTTTGTCTTAATGCAACAAGTCCCCACAGGTAAATCATGTGGGCCTTGTCCACCACAACCAAAGATAGAATGTCTTGGAATTCTTCACTGAAAAACAGTTCGGTGAAAATTGAGCTGTTCAGAAAAACCTCGGGGCTCTGCTCTTGCATGATGGAGAGTTAGCATGCAGCCCCATTGATTGATGTTTCGACATTGGACTAACCAGATAAACAAAACTAAACACTCCTTTCTTGATCTTTCAAACAGTGTCAATGTTCAAATTTATGGCTGTTAGGTTTAAAAGCTTCTTCTCGCAAACCTAGAATCACCACCAAACCAAAGAATTAGTGAGTGCCAACCCATTCACAAGATCATACATCCACAGTATCCTTACCTGGTCATCGCCCAACAAGTCCAACGGATTCAACACCAGGACAACTACCTTCTTGTCAAACAGCCCAAAGTTCATCTCTGAGATCCTAGTCTTCCCAAACCCGGTGCCAACCCGAACAAATGTATGCCTTCCTTGGACCAGCAACAAGACAGCCTCAACTTGTAGCTCCCTGGGCTGGTCCCGATACAATTCAATTGACCGTGTGATAATATGATCGGCTAGTCAGTCATCAGATTCAGGCCATCCAGCAGTTTGTTGGCCTTGGGTGGACCGGCATTTACAATGTCGTGGTCCACATGATTGGCTTGGCCTCCTAGAACGCAACTCCTGACTAGACTGAGTTTGTTGGTCTTGGGTGGACGGGTGTTTACGACTTCGTGTTCCATAAGATCAGCTTGGCCTAGATGCACAAAACTCTTGAGAGACTGCTTGGCAAGTGTTGGCCTCTTCAAGGCCCCTTGGGTTTCTGATGTTATCTGATGGTATCATTGTTATGTTGCAAGCATCATTATGCTTTTAAGACAATTTGAACTCACAGTATTCCATGTGGAATCTGCTGTACATGAGATGAGGCGCGGGGTGCCAAAACATTCTGAAAAGCATCCCAAGAGGTGCAGTCATCAAAACCCCGCTTTGGCTTTTGCTGAGCGACCGCACATAATGATGGAGGAGATCAATAGAGTCTCCTTGATCTGCCCCTCCGTTTGGTGGGCGCCTTGTTGATCATGAAGGGCACGAGGGTGGCGCAAGAGGGCATCAAAAAAAAAGAAGAATTTTCCTAATTCCCTTAGGTGGGGGGGTCGACTTAACGCATAAGTCCCTCCTTCGGAGGGTCCCTGCAGGACATTGTCCCCCCTCCAATGGGGACTTATATAAGTTAGGTGCAACTGCCGCTGTTGTATCAAGAATATCTTCATCCCCAAACAGCTCCCACGTTTGAAACTCTTCTGGATAATCAGATGGGGCCTCTTCAATTTCTGAAGAGTCTGAGCCAAAGCCCAAATCTTCCCCATCTCTGATTGGGGTTTCCTCCTCTGATGGCCCCTGGGGCATTTCCTCTGGAAGATAAAAAGTGAAACCTTCCTCCTCTGATGGCCCCTGGGGCATTTTCTCTGGAAGATAAAAGGTGAAACCTGGATCCCCGCCTTTGTACATATCATGACTTCTAGGGTGATCATGACCCCTTGGGGCCGGCTGATTAGTGTTTGGGCCCAAAGTATGGGAAACCTGTACAGGGGGCGGGTGGCAAACAATGTGAGTGTTACATTCCTTGCAACAGAATTAAATGATCCTTACCTCCGTTGGAGTCAGATTTTCCACAATTGCAAAGTATCTCCTCACTGCTTCCTTGTGAGACGGTAGGCTCACATGGTCAGAAACATATTTCATTTTGTGCCCTAGACAGTACTGGCATTGGTATCTGGTCCCATCAGCATCCAAAAACTTTGAGAAACCTGTCAGTTGACAACACAATGTCAGTACCAAATATCACTGAGCATAAGTAAATACTCTACCTGGTAATATCAGCCATTCAGAAATCAAGAGCCTGAATTAAATTTGCACCCCCTGAGCTGACTGGATTATAAGAAGAAAGTTAAATCTAAGGGCCACTCATTGCAGAAGTGAATCCAAAATTAATATTGCATCAGTAATCAACACCACTGGACACATTATAGCAAGGACATGTATCCAAACACCATGAAACTTACCAAAACAGGCAAAGGGCCAAACTTGTCACAAGTCTCAGGCTGTGGGGGGCGCATCTGGCAGCGTAGTGCTGGCCAGGCGGTTCCCGAAGGGAACTCCCCGCAGGGGACACTTGGGCTAGAGGTCAACAAACTCAGGTGCTGAGTTTCTAGTGTTTTTGTGGGAGCGTCACAAGATTTGAAATCTTGATGCTCCCTCAAAACTTTCTTGATGTTTGGTCTAGGAATCTGAAATACCTGCCTGATCTTATTGATCAGGCCAAAACTCAGAAGTTGCACATTGCAACTGTAGTTGATAACAATTTTCTAAAATTAAGATTTGAACTTTTTTGAGCTCAAATGCGGAGTTTGCTCAAGTTGGGCCCACCAAAAGAAGCCAACTTGAGTTGAAAAGTCAACCTTTCCAAAAGATTTCTGTAAATGATTAACAAACATAACAAAAAAACTGAACACAGGGAAGTATGGACAAGAAGCAGACCCTCCTTGATCCACAAGGAAATCACATAAATGTGGAGGAGGAAGAGCGTAGGCAGAAAAATACACAAAAAACTGGGTTTCAAGCCCAATTTTGAAAACTCACCACGCGGGGATTGCCACATCTGTCTTAGGCCTCCACTGGCGTGGACAGCTCCGCTGCTTGCTTTATATAACCCAGGAATCACCCACTTTTAAAGCCTGCCTTGCTCAAAAAGTGAACAATCATATCAATAATCAAAATGAAAGATGTTTATGTCTAACAAATACCCAAAAATGGAAATACATAATATCAATGCTGAACAGCCCAGTTTCAGACCTCAAAGGGAGAGGCACAAGTGGTAGAAATCAGAAAATAGGAATCCTTAGGTGTCTATGTATTGGATCCAGTCTATGTAATTTAATAAAGGTTTTGTGAGTGATTTATAGCCCAAGATGACGGGGTCTAAGATGTTAAGTTAAGCAAATATTTCCTAAGTTTACGCAGCATGTAAGTATGAGAAGTATATGTGTTTATGAAATGAAACCAAAACGTAAATTTAGAAGTGAAAATGATGAGCAAAGTTGAAGCGCTCCAAATGTGGCCAGAGGATTGGATCTAAAGCAAGCAAAAAAGGTCAATGAGGAGATGAATGGGGCTCTTCATGGGGAACCATCAAGAGAAAGGACTTATAAACCATTTGTGCACAATTCAGCAGCCAATCCACGTTAGAACAATGTGGGTCGCCAAATCTCAAAGGGTGTGCGGATCCTTCGATATCACGGATGTCAATTTCAAATAGCAGTGTGTGAGCTCAGAAAAAATCCCTTCACAGGTTGGTGGTTGGCTCATTCCATCAAACACAAACTGCCAAGTCACTCGCCCAAACCCTTCCTCCACCCTTCCCAAACGCATAAAAGGCAGCCCTTGTCCAATTGCCAAGTGAGTCAGCCCAGTCATCTTGTTGCATCCGATACTGCCCCCCTGTCTTGCATATTTCCCCTCAAATGTTGTGGTGGTGGGAGTGCGCTGCAACCAAAGCTTTGGCCAAATTGTTTGGGAAGGTGCGGAATGCAGGCGGCTAGTGCGGAAAGCACGCAGAGCTGACACTATACACGCAGGCTGAGGAAAGCAGCAGTGCAAAAATAGAAAGTCTAGCTTTCCAAGGTGTGGGAAAGAGCGCAAAAAGAAATCCAAATGCACAAGGTTCCAAAAGCTTACTGCAGGGAATCCGGGCACTTGCGGTGTGGTGGTCCAGGCTGTTGTGCGCAACAAAACTGCCAAAACCCCTACCTTATAACCTAACCCACTTACATATATGAATATATTATTACATAATCAGAATCTACATACAATTCTACCCATAGTCACTCACTACAACTATACCTCTATCTCAATCAGTTTAGAAGATAATCCAATATAAATGTTAAAGCCATACCATAACTATTCATTAATTAGTATTTAATATTAGTTTACCACATATATATAAGTACATACACATAAATTATTACATCAGCAGGCCTCCACCATTAGTGCAGACCATTTATGCAATTCTTGCATGCATATGTGCAACCATTAGGCCTCCACTTAGTTACTCAATTGAATTTATGCAGACTTTGCATAAATGCATGTGGACAGAAAAACCTCTACCAGGCAGTGCAAGCAGTTATGCAATCCTTACATACAGTAGTACCATATTTAGTTATTTCAACAGCATAATTAGCTCAATGCATGTACTCTTTGCAGGAGGCAGTGCAACCCACAAGGTCACCACCAGCAAAATCACCTCAACTGCATCACCACCAGCAAAAATAACTCAGAAAAGAATACAGCTATTTTGGAAAGGGTTGTCCAGTTGTCTCTTGCAATTTTTTTTTTTGAAAATTTTCAAATTTTTCTTTGTACTGAACTACAGCCGAGGAGGTACAGCTGTCATCACTAGTTCAGTTCTGACAGGTCCAGTTCAGTAAAAACATAAAAAATCAAAAAAATATAAAAATAAAAAAGATTTTGCAAGTCCAAGTGGACAAGACTTCCCGAAATAGCTGTATATAAGGAGGCCTCTCCTTCACCAATTCCCCCCATCATCACCCAGCCGGTTCATCCCCCCCAGCCAGCTCAGTGGTCATCATCATCATCATCACCCAGCTGGTTCATACCCAACTAGCTCAGTGGTCATCACCATCATTACTCAGCAGCCCAGCTCCCACCCAGCTAGCTCAGTGGTCATCAACCCAAACACCTTCAACATTAAAGTCTAGTCAACACCAGTAACAACAACACCAACACCAACATCAACACCAACACCAACATCAATAACAACAACCAACAGCTTCACTACTTATCCAGAATCACCGTAAAACCATCAAACCCTAAAAAAACAATATTCCACTTGGATTGTTTTCACACTCATACTCACCGTGTAAAGGTTGTAAAACCATCTTTTATTGAATTACATACTGATCTAGGTCTGATAGAGACTACTGCATATAAGTTTTCTCCATCATAAAGTCACGCCACAACAATAAATTAAAATTGTTGTCAGAATTCTTGTGTAGTAAATAGAGGGGCAGGTCTTTCAAACCACCTGTAACAGTAAATATTACTTAGTGAAAT